CTTAAAGTTACTAGAATTATTAACAGAAAGTTTATCTTCCAAATGCTCTGTCAATACATCAATTTCTAATCCCCGTTGATCAATACCAAATAATAGTTTTGATGGTGTTTGTTTAGTGCTAGACTGAACAGAATTATTAATGGTATATTCGATTCTGCGGAGCAGTTTATGCCAATCTGAATGTTGAACCGGTTCGGTAGTTTTCGCCAGCATCGCTTTTATTATTCTATTTATAGCTTAGTATCCAGCTCTTAAGAAAACGGTCAAGAAAAAATTGCCATTTTTTCGCGTGTATGTCCAAGGAATTTTGACATTTTTTATACCTCACAGCCTGTTGCCTCACTCTTTCCTCAAGAAATAATGGAACGGGCATATATTTCTGTTGCAAGCCTGGGTTGCCTTGTCCTCTTTTTTCACAAAAAACTTTAGAAACCCGTAGTAGAAAGCGTACTAAATTTCTGAAGAACTGCGTACTGCCTTAAGGAAATTTGACTCAAGAAAATTTCTTTGCCATTTCTTGTACGTCATTTTATATGGAGTTTTTGCTTTTCTTAAGAGCTGGATACTAAGCTTATACGTGCAACTTGGCCATTAGCCTGCGGTGATCCAGTGGCGTTCTTTACATGCTCAATGTTATTTTCTGATAAACAGCATTGAAATTCCTCCGAGCGGCGCCACGGTCACCAATCAATCGGAATGGTATTTACAACACATTGTACGCAATTTTGTACAAAACGTTCCACCTTATTTTTCAATTGAGGGAACCAATAATGCATTTTTATTTGATCAATACATTTAGTCACTCCCATATGACAAATTTTGTCATGAGCTTGTCGTATTATATTTGTTTCCATTTCTTTCGGAATATACAGTAAAGCTTTTTCGCCAATTTTCTGCCTAAACACCAACCCGTCCTCCAGTGCAAAATTTTCTACATTCCCCTTTTCTAAAGCGTCTCGTAGTTGAACAATGGTTGCATCTTGGTTTTGAAAAATTTTTAACTGAAGGTCTATGTCGGAAGGATTAATAAAAGTTACTTCTGCATCTAAATCCGTACCTATTTCCATGGGAGCAATAGGGTACCTACTCAATGTATCTACGTGAGTCATTTGGCTTCCACTACGATGCCTAATAGTGTAATCAAAAGCCTCAAGAAATAAGGCCCATCTAGCAATTATTGGGTTAGTTTTTTGTTTATTTAAAGTTTGCACCAGCGCTTCACAGTCGGTTACTATTGTAAACGGAATACCCAAATAAATTTCAAATTTTTGTACAGCATATACAACAGCCAATGTTTCTAATTCATAACTATGTAAAACCGATTCTGCTGCAGAAGTGGCCCTGGAAAAATATCCGATTGGGTGCATTTTTCCACTGTCCTGTCTTTGAAGAAGCATTGCACCATATCCTTTTAAACATGCATCGCAATGCGACTCCGTTTCCCGTTTTGGGTTATATATTGCCAATATTGGGCCAGAAGTCAACTGAACCTTAAGATTCTGAAATATTTCTTCACGTTCATAAGTCCAGTCGAACGGTACGTTGTCTTTTGTTAAATAACGTATTGGTGCGGAATAAGCAGAGTAACCCTTAATGAATCGACGGAAAAATGAAAATAATCCCAGAGCTTTATGAACTTCATCAATGTTTTTTAGTGATTTCATGTCTTTAACTGCCCTCAAATATTTTTCATTCGGCCGAGCACCTTGACTATTTATCGTAAATCCTAATGTTTCAATTTCAGTATTACAGAATTAGCATTTATTTGTTTTTATTTTCAATCGAAATTCAGCCAACCGTCTTAAGACTCGTTTCAATAGATCCAAATGCTTCGCAATAGTTTTGCTGAATATATTAATATCATCCATAAAAATAACAACGGAATCCTCGCGAATGAAATCCGCCAATACACAATTCATAAAACGGTTAAAAACGCCTGGGCCATTTTTTAGACCAAACGGCATCTTTTTATATTCATACTAACCCGATGGCACTACAAAGGCTGTATACTGAATACATTCTTCTGCTACATTTATTTGGTGCAACCCATTTTCCAAATCTAACGTTGAAAAACAATTATATCCCTCCATTCTCTCGATACAGTCATCAATGTGAGGCATCGGAAAACTGTTACGAACCATAACTTTATTCAAAGGTTTATAGTCCACACCAGGGGCGCACCCAGGAATATATTTTAGGGGGGGTTTTATATTTCTGAAGATATATCACCGGAAAATACTGCAAATTTTCTTCAGATAATACGCTCTTTAAAATATATTTATGCAAGTTTTATGTACTGTATGTAATAAATAAATAAACGTTTTAAAATTCATAAACTGCACTTTATTTACATAAGATTAACAGAACTCAAACACTTTTAACCGACTTTAAAAAAAGGGGAGGTTATCAATTCGCCGGAATACGTAACTTTGGACCACGTGAACCGATTTCAATAATAATTTTTTTGTAGAATGATTGGATCATGAAGAAATTAACGGTACCCCTAAATTTGAGTATGAGAATTGAAGTCGGTTGTGTTCTTTCCTTAAAAACTACTTGTTTAATAAAAAGTTCTATAAACTCAAGATGCGCTCAACTTTCAAAAGAACCTAATAACAAATATTAAAAAAGACTCAGTAAAAATAAATTTATTGATTCCATGAATTGATTGATACCATGAAATTGACAGCAAAAGCAAAGCGCTTTTTCAGGCAACAGAAATTATAATAAATATTTCTTATAATTTCCTTGAGAGCTGGATTCTTAGCTTTAAGATACAGTTTGTATTTGAGGTTATTAGCTTTAGGGGGGGTTTGAACCCCAAAACCCACCCCTTGTGTGCGCTAATGGTCCACACACATTCGCTTAGTACCATCCTTTTTAGGTGCAAGAACAATGGGGAATGCATATGGAGAATTGCTATGCCTGATTACACCCTTTTCAAGCAATTCGTCAATAGTTCTGTCAAATTCGTCTAGGTCGGAAACTTATAGGAATGTCGGAGGTCAACTTTATATACATTTAATTTAATATATACATTTAATTTAATATTTTTATTTAATTATTTTTTATTTAATTATTTTCCGAATATCTTCACGATGGAAAAGGTTAAGTTTGGGGTTAATATCAAAACAGTCTGAAGATGGTACACAAAAATTAATGTTCATAATATCAGAAGCCATACGATCGATATTGTTATCAAGTCTGCCGAAATTCTCCAATCCTACTGAAGCCACGAAATCACAGTCAACAATGCACGCACTCGGTATACATCCACACAATTCGCATTCAGAATAGTCAAAATTCCCATCACTAAAAGAACTGTACACACAATGCAAGGCTTGTTCCGAAATTCTTATTTCATCCCGCTCGGGTTTATATTTAATCTCTACCTTTGGTTTAGGTATTAAATTTTCTGCTGCAATCATTAAACGTATTCCAAACATACGCATGAAATTACGGCCCAACAAAACTGAATATGACATCAAATTGTCCGGAATAATATACATTTTTATTTCTTTAGTAACATTTTTAAACTGAACTTTAACCAAAATTACACCATACGTGCAAATTTTAAATAGTCCGAGCCCCTCATATCCGGAATATTTCATGTCACTTCGCATTAGTTGCCTTGGGACCGCTGAATGCTTCACCAAACTAATTGGACTATCTGAATCGAGAAGAGAAACCAAACTCTTACTTATGTGCACAGAACCATCAGTCAGAAAAGTAACACTCACCTTATTAAGCTTTTCAAGAGCTATACACGATTCTCCAACATCATCAATTAAAGCAACTTGATTGCTTGTCGGTGGTGGTTTCGGCTTCGGGCAATTTTTAAGTTGATGCTGAGTTGATCCACATCGAAAGCAGGAACCTTTCTCTCGCTCTCTCGCTGAACAGGCGCAGAACGGTGGCCATAGCCCGAACAATTGTAGCATTGAATGTTGGATTCGGAAATAGGAAGAACTCCAACCGATGATGAATAAAATGATTGCGATTTTGGTCGAGCACTAGGGGGCGGTTGAGAAAAAATCTGAAGTTTTGAACGTGACACTTCATGCAATTGTGCATACTTATGCGACAATTCTTTCAAGCGAATAATGGTTGTAGCTGGATACAGAACGGCAATGTGTGGTGAGGTATCTTGGAACCCAGCAATAATTAACTGAACGGTTTGCTCTTCTTCAATATGAGCTCTTGATGCAATTTCTTGCATTTTTAAAATATAACCCATCACACTTGTTTTTGCTGATTGGAATGTGGTTTTTCGTAATTTGTCAATAACCTCACTGACGGAATAAATGTGACCAAAATTCGCTAAAAAATTTGCTCGAATTTCTGAATATGTTGCTGAACAATCGGGGCGTAAAAATAATTCGGCTTCTGATTCACTTTTCATGGATTGACGGAAGAATTCAGCATTAATCGTGTCACACGCTCGTTCAAAATCTCCAAGCCACTTCTCGGCGTCGTAGTCGGCAGAACCGCTGAATAACGGAACCAAATGCTTAACGTCTTTATAGCTGGGTTTCATAAATTGCTGAACTAATGGAGAACACATGCCTGATTCCAATTGAAAAATTCGCTTCTTTTTCTCCAATACACGCAACTTTGCATCTAGCAATTCTTCTTCCAATTGGATTTCGTATAACTGAATAGCGGTTTTCGTTTTCGGCTCTCCCGGCGAATCGTTCAAATTTTTTTGTTCGCTTTCATCATTCGTATTTAACTTACGATCGTCAGCGCAGCTTTTCTCGGAATTACTCTGTATCGCCTGATCGGAATTCTTTTTTCTCGTAGAATTTTTCCCAAGTTTTGCGGAGTACATCGCACGCAAATCTGCAACTGTGGCATCTTTAGCAAAAATTACACCCACTGCTCCCAATTCTGTAGCCAACTGAGTCTTATTCATGGTATTTTCCATTTTTCGGACCCTATCCGCAGAATGCAGTTATAAAACTAATCGCTTCAAGATTCAAAGTTGAACTGCCGCTGAATGTTCTTGTTTTATTATTGTGACTTATTGACATTTGCTATTCACGATGAAAGGTAGTGGCCACCTCGGCTGACAGTAAACAATAATTACATAGGTATATAATTCAAACTATTACATATTTGATATACTTTAATGCGATTTGCAATAACACCATTGACTGGAATCAAAATGATCATCACAGCTAAGCCAGCTAGCACTGAGGGTCCCAATTGTAGCCACAAGAAGTACATAGCTAGCGCAATTTGTAATGGCGCTGAGCAAATCATAAATATGTTGTTAAATCCATAAAGCGTTGTGCATCGACCGCCATCAAATTTACAATTTCTCCTACTGTCGCTTCCTTACGTGTTGCATTCGATATATAGCATTTTCAGCTTAAATGAAACTTTTTTCAAATTAAATTAAACCATTTTCAAACAAAGCGAAACCGTTTTCAAATTAAATGAAACCTTTTTCCGGTCAAGCGAAACCGTTTTCAAATTAAATGAAACTTTTTTCAGATAAAGCGAAACCTTTTTCAAATTAAATGAAACCTTCTCAGATTCAATGAAACTTTATTCAAATTAAAAAAAACTTCCTTTTAAGAATGTTTCATTTAATTTGAAAATAGTTTCATTTAATTTGAATAAAGTTATATTGAATCTGAAAAAGGTTTCATTTAATTAGAAAAAGGTTTCGATTTATCTGAAAAAGGTTTCATCTAATTTGAAAATGGGTTCGCTTAAGCTGAAAAAGGTTTCATTTCACTTGAAAAAGGTTTCACGTAATTTGAAAAAGGTTTCATTTAAACTGAAATTGCTATAAGTAAAGCTTTACGATATATTGCATTGATCAGCGCTGTGCGTATACGTAGACCAACAACGAACATGCTATGAAAATACTGTCCCAACATAAAAGTTTGTGCACCAGCAGTAATAAAAAGAAGTGCCGCATAAAGTATGCCCTTCCATTGGGGTTGCCTGTCCTCTTTGTCTTCGGAGTTATCTTCGACAAGGCCAATAATTAAACTTAGCACTTGAGGTTGTGCAAAAGTTAATACATCGCAAATCAACTTCATTAGCGAACCAAGCAAAAATACTCCACCAAATGATTTAATGATTGGCGGCTTGATTGAAGCCACACCCTTCTTGCCGGTATTTGTAAAAACCTGCAAATCGTGAAGCATCTAGAACGCAACTATCAACATCTCAACATTCATCAACTTGACACGCTCATCCTTGTACTTCTTTTGCCTTATTTGTAATAAAACTAATCGCTTCAAGATTCAAAGTTGAACTGCCGCTGAATGTTCTTGTTTTATTATTGTGACTTTTTCACATTTGCTATTCACGATGAAAGGTAGTTGCCACCTCGGCTGACAGTAAACAATCATTACATAGGTATATAATTCAAGCTATTACAGCTCGACCGGGTTTTCAAAACTGATCGTCCCGGTCAAACAATTTAAAAAAATACCAAAATTTATTTACAAATAACTGAAATTGACCTCTTAATCAAACGACTAAAAATAGAACATAAAACTAGAAAATTTATAACAGTAATTAAACTAATTGAATTGGATCCCATACCACTCTTACACTATTTTGTACGAATAATATAATTAGATATTTAGAATTACAATGATCGTCTAATCAAATTAAGAGTAAATCTTCCTTCTTTTGAAATTCGACCGTCCCGGTCCACAAGTTATTACTATTTTTCATTCGTATAATAAATTAGCTAACTTATTATAGTGTCACCTTTCGGAATCTGACTCACAATTAAATGCGTCCTGCCCTTTGATGTATTCCCGAATGCGTGATGCTTCAATTATACCGTCATACGGAATTTGCGTTATTTGGCAGTTTTCTATATCCCTAATAACATATCGATCGTTGGGAAGCACTTTATGAATCTGATAAGGTCCTCGGAATTTAGGAATAAATTTTTTATTAGTACCAATAGTCGTATCCACATTCCTAATTAATACATAATCACCTTCCTTGAACCGAATGTGGGGCTTTTTATTTTTACTATACCAATCCATATTTCTTTGTTGAGATTTGTTTATATTTTCAGACGCCTGAGATCTCCTATCCTTAAAGTTACTAGAATTATTAACAGAAAGTTTATCTTCCAAATGCTCTGCCAATACATCAATTTCTAATCCCCGTTGATCAATTCCAAATAATAGTTTTGATGGTGTTTATTTAGTGCTAGACTGAACAGAATTATTAATGGCATATTCGATTCTGCGGAGCAGTTTATGCCAATCTGAATGTTGAACCGGTTCGGTAGTTTTCGCCAGCATCGCTTTTATTATTCTATTTATACGTTCAACTTGGCCATTAGCCTGCGGTGATCCAGTGGCGTTCTTTACATGCTCAATGTTATTTTCTGATAAATAGCATTGAAATTCCTCCGATGTAAAAGCGGCGCCACGGTCACCAATCAATCTCTTCGGGCGGCTAAAATACTCAAAATATTTTTCTAGCGAAGCTATCACCTCCCTCGTATTCGTTGTATTACATGCGTACAACTTGACATGTGTCGTGAACGCATCGACAACAACTAAAATATGTTTCTTTTTTTGAAATAAGGGACGGAAGTGGGCCGAAATGGTCGATATCAATTGTATCAAAAGGAATGGGTTTCTTCGGAATGCTATGCAAACTTCTGTTAGAGCAATGGGCGGAATGGTATTTACAACACATTGTACGCAATTTTGTACAAAACGTTCCACCTTATTTTTCAATTGAAGGAACCAATAATGCATTTTTATTTGATCAATACATTTAGTCACTCCCATATGACAAATTTTGTCATGACCTTGTCGTATTATATTTGTTTCCATTTCTTTCGGAATATACAGTAAAGCTTTTTCGCCAATTTTCTGCCTAAACACCAACCCGTCCTCCAGTGCAAAATTTTCTACATTCGCCTTTTCTAAAGCATCTAGTAGTTGAACAATAGTTGCATCTCGGTTTTGAAAAATTTGTAACTGAAGGTCTATGTCGGAAGGATTAATAAAAGTTACTTCTGCATCAAAATCCGTACCTATTTCCATGGGAGCAATAGGGTACCTACTCAATGTATCTACGTGAGTCATTTGGCTTCCACTAATATACCTAATAGTGTAATCAAAATCCTCCAGAAATAAGGCCCATCTAGCAATTATTGGGTTGGTTTTTTGTTTATTTAAAGTTTGCACCAGCGCTTCACAGTCGGTTACTATTGTAAACGGAATACCCAAATAAATTTCAAATTTTTGTATAGCATATACAACAGCTAATGTTTCTAATTCATAACTATGTAAAACCGATTCTGCTGCAGAAGTGGCCCTGGAAAAATATCCGATTGGGTGCATTTTTCCACTGTCCTGTCTTTGAAGAAGCATTGCACCATATCCTTTTAAACATGCATCGCAATGCGACTCCGTTTCCCGTTTTGGGTTATATATTGCCAATATTGGGGCAGAAGTCAACTGAACCTTAAGATTCTGAAATATTTCTTCACGTTCATTAGTGCAGTCGGACGGTACGTTATCTTTTGTTAAATAACGTATTGGTGCGGAATAAGCAGAGTAACCCTTAATGAATCGACGGAAAAATGAAAATAATCCCAGAGCTTTATGAACTTCAGCAATGTTTTTTGGTGATTTCATGTCTTTAACTGCCCTCAAATGTTTTTCATTCGGCCGAGCACCTTGACTATTTATCGTAAATCCCAACGTATCAATTTCAGTATTACAGAATTTGCATTTATTTGTTTTTATTTTCAATCGAAATTCAGCCAACCGTCTTAAGACTCGTTTCAATAGATCCAAATGCTTCGCAATAGTTTTGCTGAATATATTAATATCATCCATAAAAATAACAACGGAACCCTCGCGAATGAAATCCGCCAATACCCAATTCATAAAACGGTTAAAAACGCCTGGGCCATTTTTTAGACCAAACGGCATCTGTTTATATTCATACTGTGTCGAATACTGCGGCAACACAAAGCGAACAACGAGAAATAGGTAGAATGTTCGAAGCATGACGTAGAATGCGAGAACAGCGAGAGAAAGAGAATGAGCGATAAACTTCAGAATGTTCTAGAGTTGCTATAAGTGCCAGCGCAGGTATATAAGGGCGCCGCCACCGCGAGGTGAGTTAGTTACAAGACAGCAAGCTACAAGTAAAGTGAGCAGGGAAGTGAGTTGCGAATAAGCAAGATATAAGTTTAATTGTGTTACCAAGTTTAGTTAAGCACTGTTATTGCTTTAACAAGTATTGTAAAGTGTTTTTACTGTATTAGCGAGTATTGTAAATTGTTTGTTGTACAATAAAGTTAATTGTACTACAATTTGGTCATCGATTGCATTTATTTAACAATCCAGCGATACGAACCGAGAGATTTGGGAAATCCGGACGAGGTTTCAAGGATAATCGTAACAATTGGTGTCAGAAGTGGGATTGTTAAATAAATCCCGAAGGATAAACTACTGAAAATGGCGAAAATTCAATACTAAAAGATTGAGGAACTGAAACAGGAGTTGGAAAAGCGTAATTTGGCCACCTCCGGAAGAAAAGTGGAATTGTTATCCCGGTTGCGGGAGGCTATGGAAGCTGAAGGCATCGACGTGGACAAATACGACTTGCAGGGTAAACCTGACGAGGCATCCGCAAGGGACGAACAGAAGGATGAAGTTGCTTGTTCGTCGAAGGATATGCAGCAAACATCCGGGAAGGTTGAACAACAGCAAAAGGCAAAAGTTCAGCTATAGACATGAAAACGTTATTGGCTGCCATGTCACAGATGTTATCACAGCTGTCGTCACAGATGCAAGCACAGGATACACGCATGTCACAGATGTCATCACAGCTGTCATCCCAGATGCAAACGCTGGAGACACGTATATCTTCAGAGGTATCAGCGCAGGTGTCATCCCGGCTAGAAACTCAGCTACTGGCACAAGAGACACGTATATCATCCCAGCTGGAAGCACAGGATGCAAAAATTATACAAATACAGGACAAAATCGAAGAGAGACAGGAGAAAGTCGAGACAAAGGTAGAGGAGTGGGAAGGTCGTCTTCGTGATTTACAGTTGAATCGTCCAGCTACTTGGACGAGCGCACCCAAGGTAAAAACCCCATCCTTTGACGGCACGATTCCTTTCCAGGTCTTTAAGCTCCAGTTCGAAAAAACGGCTGCAGCAAATCATTGGAGCATGGAGGATAAATCCGCTGCACTATTCGTTGCATTGAAAGGACCTGCGGCAGAAATCTTGCAGACTATTCCCGACTGTGAAAGGAAAAGTTACGATGCGTTAATGGCTGCAGTGGAAAG